GTCCGTCCCGTACGGCGCCCGGTCCCTGCTAGTACATAAGGTATTTTTTGTTGTATCTTGATAGAAAAGTTTAAAAAATAATTTATTTTTTAAAAGAATTTGAGATATTTTATCAAAAAATAATAAAATATACAATTTAGAGAGAAAATATTAAAAAATTAAAATTATAAAAAATTATAAGAGTAGTATGGCAATTTTAATTTTTACCTAAAATGGTAAAAAAATTAACATTCTTCATATTTTCTCGTCTCTTTATTTTATGTCATGTTTTTATTTTTATCTTTTACTTTATGATATTATAAGTCTGACTACAATTTAAATGTTGCTTGTTCGAATAGTTAGATGTCATTTTGTTTGGACTTAATTAAATTTGAAGCTATGATAGGTTTTGATATTTATTTTATGGAGTTTTTATTAAAAAATAATTAGTTTATTGAGTATTTAAAATTTTTATAATTTTTAATTAAGTTATTACTATTTAAATTTTTTAATAATTGAATTACGTGACAATTATCTTTTTATCTTATTTTGTTTATTTGTGTGATTTTATCAATGATGAGTTGATAATTTCTTAATTGCTATATAGAAAACATTTGAGAGCGTAAAATCTTATTATTTAACATATCTTGAGAAAAATAAAAATTTAAGTACAATATCGTTTCTTATTAACCACAACATATTTGTATAATTTTATCAATGGTAATTTTTTATTAACCACAACATATTAGTATAATTTTATCAATGGTAGTAGTTGATAGTCCCTTAATTGTTGTTGACCATAATGTAAAAAACATTTGAAAATATGAAAATATTATTATCTAATATATTTTGAATAAGAGCAATATTATTTTTTATTAACCACAATATTTTTTTAATGTGTGGAAACAAGTAGATGATGGACAAAATAACAATCATATCACACACAAAAAAATAAACAAAAAGACTTGAAAATATAAAAAGTTTGATTACTAAATAGATCACTAAGATTACTCTTTAGTTTTTTAGTATTGATGTTAGTTAAGGTTCTTTTGATAATTATGCTTTCTGAATGACATCAAACACGATTTTTTCAATTAACAAATATTATTTCAAATTTTCAGTTGATGATGTCATTTGAGATTTTTTTTTACCAACATTTTCTTGACAAAGATTGATAACTCTATTATTCAATTCATGTGAATCATGATTTTTTTTTTAATCTATACTAATTAAATTACTTTTTGAATGTTATTTATATGTCCATATAGATTAGAGTTGATAAGTATAAGTATTTTTCAAAAAATTTCAATCAAAAATTCCTTTCAGTGTCTACAATAATAAAGTAGTAAGATTTATATAGAATAGTAACTAAATTAGTAATATATATATATATATATATATATATATATATATATATATATATATATAGAAATAT